ATAACCCCCCTGATTTTAGATCATAAAAAATGGAAGTGGCATATAGCGTTGCTCCTTCGGGATTTTCCAGCAGATGAACATGGAATCTCGAGTGGGGTCTTGAAAAAAGGTTACCTGTCTTTTTTTTAATATACCCGCTCATGTTTGCTGTATTTAGTTCGTGTATATACTTGTCGATTCGCTCGGAGCCAGGTTCCCTAAAAGTTGCATGCGGCATGTCAGTACAGTATATGGAGAAAATAGCGAAAGTAAACTTCTTCCTTTTCGACACAATGTATATTCATGCGAGTGGCTGATGTTTTGAACGGAATTTTCAAGCCCTATGGGAACTGTTTTGTTCGATGCTTTGATGGCAACCTGTTCGCAGGGAAACGTTCTGTGAAGCTTCTGTAAGGTTCTCAAAAGCATCATTCAAAATCAAATTGCATGAACAAATTTATGAGAAATAATTGGCTATAGAGAGCAGCCGGTTGCAAAACAATTAGCGAGATCTTGAAGCTTTTGTTAACAGGGTATTTTTGAGGAAAGAGCAAAAGAATATCAGAACTAAATCTCCGATTGAAGCCACAATTGAGTGGGAATTTTGCACAATGGAGTATCGCGGAAAATTCCAAAAATTTCCGTGAGACCCTTATTAGACTAATGTAGAATAATTAAGTCTTAAAAGGCGCTCATAGCTGTCTTTTTTTTAAGAAAAGGAGGCTTTCATGAACGACACTTCGTACTCTTCTTGCGCACGTTCTTCTGTCGACGAGTTCGAATCCGGGCTGGATTTGTTGCAATTTTTGTCTCGGAACAGAAGTGCACGCTCATGACAACAGCTTTGAATTAGATAGTGCTGTGTTTGTAAAGGAAGTGTGAACTGTTCATCCAGAGGGAAAATATGAAGAAAAACCCAGGTTTCGAAATAATCCGTAATTGTTATTGTTGAACGATGACCTTTGAAGTCACAGTTTTCCGAGCGCCCAAATTTCAAGAAGGCAATAATCAATCGATTTAATTAAGTATTTTTTCACGTTTTCTTTGAATTTGTTCTGGGTTGCATGTTGTGTCCTAGAATTTTTTGCGGAAACTGATCACGTTTCAAATCATTTATTAAATTTATTGAATTTCATTACATCGCATAATAATGCATTTTAGATTTATTTCCTTCCGGATTGATGCCATTCGGGGTATTTTGAGATCGAAATTATTCCGGGTTCCTTTTTTAAAAGATTGAAAATTATTGAAGTACTGTACATCGAATTCCACGTTCCACTCTGTTAAAGCAGCGAAAACCAGTTTTAAAGACATCGTCAAGCAATGAGTCCTGATTTTTTTTTTTTACTGTGAAGCTCGATGCTTGCATATACCCATAATTTTAAACCCGCCCAAAATGTTAAAGATTTCGTCGCTCAGTATATTTTTGGGACTGAATTAAAAAAAAGTTCCATGTACCACACGAACCTTTTTCTCGAAAAGAATCCCTGGAAAATTCGACTTTCTTCGCAGATGAGTACGAATCAAAATACGGGTCACTGTGAATGCTTCCACATTTTCTTTAGGAGGATTTCTTGAGCGATATACATGCAAATTTCACCACACCTTCTTAATAATTTCACCTTTTTTTCAAATCCAGTGTATTTCCTTCTCCGCGAATTGCAGCGGGTAATTCGAGGATCACTTGGTGTCCTCCACTCTCAAAAGTTGCGTAAGAAGAAAATGTATTTCGAAAAAAATATATACTTGTGAAAAAAAAGAGAGACGAACGAGGAGATTGCCCAGGTACATCTCATCAAAAGTAACTTTTTGTTCACCCTTCTCTCAATCCCCGGTTTCAGAAAGAGAGAGAGAGAGAGAGTTGAACAGGAAGTTCTTCTCCGCCGGGCACCAGCAATTGAATACATTTCAAAACGGAGAAATGATTCATGACGCACAAGGCCGTGCTGGTATATATATACATATATACAGAAGTAAGAAATGCGAGGCATCAGAGAAGGAAGAAATTGGATCCCCACTACCACCCATTTTACCCCTCCACCCTCGGTTTTTGCAGGAACAGCGGCCGAGAGATCATCATCAAACGCATTCGAGGCACGCAATTTGCTTCTCGCCCGCTGTCCGGAACAGATGCCGCGACTCGCATCCGCAGCTTATCTGGGCTTCGCCCTCAGTGCAATTATACCCTGTGTGTGTGTGTGTGTGTGGCCGTGTAGGAAAACCCATTCCTTTCTGTTGCCAAGCTTTAAAATCAAGCGAAGTTTGCGAAAACAATGGGACTCTCGGACCACTGTCGCTCAACACTGCTTTCGCAGGAGAAAAGCAATTCTGCCAAGAGGTATAATCCACCTCGAGCGGAGTGGATTCCTATACTGTACTGAAAGTTCTGCCCCACGTCAGCTTCTCGAAAATCACTGTTGCTGGGGTCCCCTATCTGCGATGGTATAGCAAAACTTCTCCTTCTTGTACTTGAAAGAGGGGATTTACCTTATTTGATGATGCTCTTTGAAGGCGAAAGTTTCCAATGATTTACACTGTTGCATAGATATTTTATGCATCATGGATATGATGCTGGTTTTTCAGTTCATAGTCATAAGTCATGTAATTTCTGCAGTAGAAGTACATTGGTGAATGTATCACCGGATGAGCGCCTTCTTTTCTTATGCACAGCATTCCACTTATACAGAAATGAGCTTCCAAAAGATTTGGGACTCTTGGAATTCAATAAAAAGGCTCTTTTCAAAATTGTAGAGGACCAAGATGAATCGTTGAACTTCATACAATTTCTTCTACAAGATTCTCTCAAAAATTTTAAATTAACTAAACCACATCTGGGAGCAAGCTGAGCACCTTGTACTTTAACTTGGGTTCAGTGATTGCCTTATGCTGCAATTCTTATGACGGAAATTTGGATTTTGTGATGTTTAACAAGAGTACCAATGCAGCCAGAACTATTACGTTGATTGGAATTGAAACTGGAGTTGCTGATAGAACTTCATCCTAAGTATTGCTTCAAATTATTAAAGAATTACTGTGTTTCTCGGGAAAAATCTTGGTTTCAAAATGGTTTTAGTGTACTTTTTCGCGCAATATTTTGAAAGTTGGTACTGTATATGCTGGGATGTTGAACAAGGAATGTGTCTATTCCATTGTGTGTACAACATAAATTCAATATAGTGCGAGTTAATTCGCGTCAAAATCGTAAGTCAAATACAAATCTTCAGCCAGCGTAAATTTATCTCAATACTGCAATCATATGCATAAATAGTGATCTTCGTATTGCGAAAAATTTGTTGATGCCGGTATCCCACGAATTACTGGAAATGAGATTGTGCACTCAAAATAGCATGCTTTTGCATGAAAATAAAATCGCCAAATCCTGATGGTTTAGTTTCACGGCTACAAAAGGGAAAAGAAAAATTACGTTCCGATGCCCCGAATATACTGTATAGCCGTAGATCTGAAACGACGAGGAAAATTTCCGACTCGGTTATTCCACTGTGAATTCACGGAAGTGAACTTTTACTGCCATATCCATTCCTGCCGGAAAATTTAAAAAGTTTAACCATTTTCACGCCGAAGAATTTTGAGCACATGCTTCTGAAGTATGGAATCTTGTGGCTCGACAGTTGAGCTTATTGAGAATCCACTCGCGGGAGAAACGAAAATGATGTCGTTCAGCTTTGCATTTTTCTAGACTTATCTTCAACCAGTGCGGAAATTTTTTGCATGCATCACGATAAACGCTAAATCGATGCTACTCGCATTGAGCGTTATAAAATTTCTTTAGCACACCACGCACGTCCCACGAGGATTTTTTAGTAAAGACATTTTCGTCTTATTTTTTGGAATGAATCCCCTTTTTTTTCTTGTGCTTATACTCTTGGCTTCGCTGTGCAATACCGAAATGCTGGCATCAGTTTGTTTGGCTTGTGTGTCACGTTTCGCACACGGAGCGGAGAGCAAATTCCCTCTTGGGGCGTAATATTGCTTTCCGACGGGGCTCAAAATGTTTTCTGTTAACCCATTCGGGGGTTCTTCCCACTTTGTATTTTGCCGCTATTCATTGCCCCAATATATTACTCTTCTTTTGCAGAAGTTCGACTCTTTGTGCAGGACCGAGGTGACGTTTTTCCTCATCAGAGTGTTTTTCAACGTGAGTGTAAACGAGCATTTTTTGGGGCTATAGATTATTTTGCATTATATAGGCAGCGAAAAAGGGTTAATGGGAGGTCATCAGATGATAAGGTGGAATAGCATGATTTTTTTAATAAGCGAAACCAGGAAGCGGGAATGGGTAAAAAATACAAACAGTATATCTCTGAAAAAACTCTTACAGCAGTAAATTTCCAGATCTAAAGTGTGATTACAAAAGTCTGAGGTACAAATCGCTGCGGAGTTCGGAATCGATGGAAATGATCTTGAGTCTGCTCGTTATTAAAATTCTAAAAATTTTATAGAGTCTTACGTGGATAATGTAGAATGGATGATCCCTGCATGATAATGTATACATACAAACAGAATTCAACAATAATATTCAATAAGATGTGACATATCGTAGGCATTATTCTACTGCATTTCCTTGCTTTCGTAAGTTGGAATCTCGACCTTGGGTTTGACGCAATCAAATCACTTCCCGTTACTGACTTCGGAAGTTATTATAAAGTTGATTAAAATGCAAATTTGCGCTCATTTCCTTGAGACCTTTGATGATTGGCAACAGGGAAATTCCAGATAAAATCTATGCGACACAAAAAAAGTTCCACTATATTATGGGAAAAGTTGATTGTGACGATGATGATCGGCAAAAAATAGTCGAAATTTTAGAAATTTTACTTGTATTTTTATCCCAAATTGTCATCATGATGGGAATAATCACGGAACTTGTTTTCAGATGTAGCAGCGTTTCTTTCAATCGTACAATTTTTATGCACGCAGCCATGAGTGAATTTCCACGAATATGGAAACAAGTTAGGTTATAGATTTGGAATGCGTTACAAAATTTTTAATTGATCAGAATATAATTTTTATGATAGTACTGCGCGATATTAATTGCATATTCTCGCTAAATGAGTTTTCAAAGTTATTGTCAAACAAAATTATAAGAAAAAATGTTCAAACCTTAAAGTGTATACCAGCATTCACGCAGCAATATACGTGAATTCGAAATATGCAATGCATATTTCTTCAGTTTAAAAATGGGTTTTGAAAGTGTTAATTGATCGTAAAAAAATTTCCGAGAACAATGTATTGTAGTATAATTGCTTATAATTGAAAAGTTGAAAAGTCTAATGAAACGTTTTTTTTTTCCAAATTTTCACCTGAGACAAACAGTATAAGAGAATATTTTTCAAGCCACAGAGTTTGAACCGAAATTGATTTTTAAAATTTGAATTGATGGTATAATAACATTTCTACGAGTACATCAGCAGTGAAATATTCATTGCATATTTGAGTTGGAGAGTTTTTCAAATTTATTTTACAAAATGTTCAGAAATTTTCAACTACTTTTGTTTCTAGCCCGAGATCTGGTCGGTGGGTACGTTCCCGCCGGGTTCCGCGATATGAAATTTTCGTTCGACCTAGCGAATAACTCAATTTCCGCCCCAGAATGCGCACGTATAGTTTGCGATCCGTTTGCAGGGATTAGCTTGACACGGTTTTCCTTCTCTGTGTTGTAGATTCTGGCAATGGTTGCTGTGATGAAGTTCTACCGAAGATTGCGAGATGGATTCTCGTGGAAAGACCCTGAGGAGATCGAGCTGTGATTCTTTTTTTCTTTTTTTTTTTTTTTTCTTTTCCAGCTACAAGGCGTCAAAAGTATCCCTTATTAAGATCTCGTTTCGAAAACAAAAAAGAATTATTTGTAATTGGCAAAACAGTGGGCATCGAAAGTCATTCCGAAGGTGACTCGAGCAGACGTTTGCATTCTTCAACTGTTCGGCGAATTTTCTTCAATTTTTTTTTTTCTTGAGTGAAAATGAATGAGGGAGGAATTTTTCCTCGTCTTCGAGGCTAAAAGTGATGTGAGCTTCAAAATGTTAGCATTTCCATTTAAAATTCGAAGTTCCTCTTCGAATCATCGGGGTTTCTGTTCTGTTCCATGGATAGAATCACGCGTTTTGAATGGTAATGTTTTATTGTCGCTTGGAAAATCTGTTGAGCGAGATCCTTTGCCAAACCAACATGTGACAATGGTAATATTTTTCTGTCGTTTCCAAAGATTCGTGTTCATGAAAAAGAAATGTTCCACAATTTATGGGTGATCGCATGTATTTCTTGATGATTAATTCAATCAAATGTAGGTGCTGTTTCGAGGTGAATGTTCCTGACGGATTGCTTTGAGAGCGTTGTCCGAGATGTTGAAATTTTTGCTTGAAAGTCGGTTCAATGATTTTAGACATTATGTTTAGACTCTTCCTCTTTTTTTGGAACGGACTTGTTGGTATAATGAACGGTTCCATCTTATTTGAAAGAGAGAAAAAAAGTTTGTTCGAGGAGAAAATATATGTTTTCGTTGCTTCACTTTACTATAGCTGCCCTCACGTTCCTTGCTTTAGGAAGCAATTCCGACCAAGTGGTCGTTTTTTATGCAGCATACATCAGCGAAGAGCTTTTTATGGCCATGGTAAGAACCTTAGGGTTTGGGTCTCAGAAAGCACATGGGGTTAAGAGAAACGGGGTTCTCTACACAGCCCCACGACACGGCGAGAATATGTATGAACCACCGTCGGAAGGCTGGTGATGATGATGGTGATGATTATGAGAGAGAGAGAGAGAGAAACCACGAAGAAGGCAAAAATTCTACGTGCCAAATGATCAGCTATAGTGAATCATCGAACTTGTATAGCACCATTGGATTTCACGGCTTTGCAGGAAAGTATGATCCGGCGTTTTTTCGGCAATTTTTTTTTTGTGGGTCAAATTGCGATGTGAAGGTACATTTTATTGTTGTTTCCTCTTATTCTCTCACACAACATGATTTATGCACAGAGTTGAATGCTTGAAGAGTTTCTCCGTGAACTTTTAATTTTCTATGCAAATATTGCGAAGAGGTTTTATTTGTCAACCTTTGATCGGGAAATTCGCTGACAGAAACGAAGTCACGGGTTCTGAACAGTCAATTTTGAAAAACTGAAGAAGTTATAAGATAAGGGATCTTTTCTTCTCAAGGTTATTCATGACGCTTAAAAAAGCAGAAAATTGCGTTATTTACTATTCTAAAGTGATTATTTTTTGGCGGTCTATATACTGTATGTCATTTCACCTGCGAGAGATTATTCAAGAAACGACTTCTTTGGTCATTATTTCAAATTTCGCAAATGCTCGAACAATTTTCAGCTCAGCTCATTCATCATTTCTGTAGATTAAACCCCGCAAATCCCATGGAAACCTTAACGCAAAAACAAGAAAACACGAAACCAGTACATCAGCCAGCTTCATTCATTCAGTGTTTGGGGTTATTTCGGGACGGTTTCTAGTCTGCATTTATTTTTCCATCTCCGACTAAAGCTTCTTTTTTGCCTTTAGGAAAACATTAGCATGACCTTTGGACTCTCTAAACGTATACTGTGGTAATTTGAAAGAAAAAACGTCCATGTTATCTCCACAAAACGTTTTTCCCATCAACTAGAATGCAATTTTCTCGGAAGGAATTGAAACCATTTTTTTCTGCGCAAATACAAGAAGTCAATTATCTGCTCACTCGCGTTTCGCGTCAGCGCTGTTATTACGGAGGACTCAATTTTCTTTTAATGGTCCGGAAATATAAAATATTATGTTGGTTAGTTTCCATTAATCAATTCTCTTGGAGACGATCCACGAAATTGTCTTGAGTAATTCACCGAGTAAGCTACAAATGATCCCCAATTATAGACTGAGGGGCTTCCACTTGAATTTACCGAGAGACAGTCCTAATTTAAATGTCCCACGTACTGAAGATGAATGGAGAAGTCAATAGGCTTATTTTTGTTTTATTTTTTTATTTATGCACTTGAACTTCCTCATTCCATTCCATCCTAATTGATTCCGGAGATTACACAATCTGCTCGCAAATTCCTTTGACAAAATATCTTGGGATATTTATATTTTGCTCAAACATGGTTATACTCATTTTTGCAGCAAAAAATTATCTTCTTAATGAGCGACTATATGCACATGTGGACTCTCTCTCTCTGTATACAACGATCTTGTCTAAAGCGAAATTCTCTTCAACGATCTCGTCTACAACGAAATTATCTACAATGATCTTTTCTACAATTAAATTCTGTGCAACAATCTTGTCCATAACGAAATTTTGTACTAAAACCTTGTCTACAACTAAATTCTCTGCATCTAACTCTACAACGAAATTCAAGGGTCCCGACATTTCGTTGCACTGGTATTGCTAAAAAAAATCGTGTTAGAAAGAATTTCTTTGTTAGACTTTCGTTTTCCTGTCTTTCAAGATGAAATTCAAGGTACCCGAAAATATTTTTACTGAGTGAATTTCGTTGTTGAATTTCGTTTTTCTGTCTTTCTAAAGATTTTCTTTGGGGAAAAATTGCTGGGGTTTCTGGAATATGTCAACAAGAGGCGGAATAATGTATTGCATAAATGGGAAAATGATTATTTAATAGTTAGCTGAGTTAGTAACTTCATCAATTTTGTAGCCAACCACAAATATTGAGAGAAATCTTTTTCGTGGAAGAACGAAGACAAACATCACAACGAAGTTCTTTCTGTACAACAAGGTTTTTTGGGTCCCTTGAATATCGTTGTAGCGAGTCCGCCTGCGTTGCAACATTTATTTTCCTTCTTCCAAGAAAAATATTTCTCTCAATATTTGTGGTTGGCTAAAAAAATTGATGAAGTTAATAACTCAGCTAATTAATAAGTATTCCTTTTCCCAGGGCGATACATTATTCCACCTTTTGTTGATATATCCCCAAAAAACCCCGAGCTGCTTCGCATTATCGGCTCCATCCCGAGTACATTTTCCTCAGGAAGACCGAAACCCAGGCGATAACATATATATTCGTATATATACACACATATTATACGCAGTATTTATACGAGTAACAGTATATTCCTTGTTTGTTTTTTTTCCATCTCATCCTTGTTTTCATGTGGTTTCCTTACGACAAGCCTTGTCTCGCTGACTATTTGGCATCATTCCGGATGAAAGCCACAGAGGAACTTTCTGCGAAACCGCAAGTTTTGTCGCACATCAAGATACCGTACCTGATTCCCTTGTTGTGATAAGCGTGAGCATTATGCTGAACTTCGCGATCCTTGAAGTTCGCGATAGGATGAAGATGGCCCACGGGAGTAAACATTTGGAAGTTTCGCCACAACATGCGATAACAGGGCGACTGTGGTCGGGGAAAAATGCCTCTCATTCTTTGATCTCTGTGGGAAACTTTTCATGTTCTTCATGACTAAATATATATATACAGTAGTAGGAAGGGGGGGGGGGAGTTATGTCAAGCTTTGATCAAGACATTCTCTTATTGGGAACAAAAGCATCGAGTTTGAAGAAAAGAAGAGTGACTTCAGAAAATATAGGAGTTGGGATAGGGTAATTATTCTTCAATGTGATTCCATCAGTGAAAACTTGTTGATGTACGTTAGTATCAGAAATGGGAATATTGTTCAGTCACATGAATTTCCGGGAATCAGAAAATTTAATCCTATTTGTGTTATCAAATTATTCTCATGGACATCTTTGACTTTGAATCACAATTTCATATAATACTGTACAGTATACAAATTTCGATGAAAAGAAGAAACATCGCATTTGTAGATGGGCTGCAATTTGATTTCGGTCAAAATATTAATTGTACTTCAGTTTCCTAGACAAAAATGTATCCAAAGGTTCATAGTTGCTTATTTAAGCGCCATACATTGGCACAATATTGCAAACTATACCAAACTGTACTTAGATACGGCGAAAAATATTCGAATAACTTGACATGGATTAAAATGTTCGAATCCCAGAATTTTTGCATATGATTACGAGGCGCAGTAAAATGTCATTTGATTTTAATTTTGCAATTAATAACGTAACAAAATGTAAAATTACGGATTTGCCGCATCTTATATGCGCAATATTTTTGCGGCATATTTCTTGTTCTGTATTTCCTGTTTTTAGCGAAGTTATATTTTTCCTAAAATGCAGCTTATTGATCCACATACTTCCACTAGCTATGCATTGAGGAGCAGAGCTCTAATAATAAACTTTACTATTACTAGAAGGCTGGCAGTTACTTTTTGAGCCTATAAACATCGACAAAAGCCATTTTCCCACGTCACAGGAAGATGTCAACTATTGAGAGGATTTGGAAAGGTTCTATACTTCAAACTCTGCCTTTGTATATGTGTGTGTGTTGCTGTCCTCTATACAATCTACATCTTTGTGAAGCCACCTTTTACAATTATTAGTGTTTTAAAATGGGTGACATTGACTTACTAAATATACTCTGCGCATCTTTTTTCCAAAAAAAGAGAAGCAAATGAGGCGTGTGTCATAGCCAATACAAACTTTTTTTGGAAAGCTTTTTTTCTATTGCTGGAAACTTTTCTCCACACTTTAAATTTTTTAGGCTCCTCAATTTTGAGATTATGATCATTTGTATGAAACAAAAATATCTCCATTGAATTTGATTCGCAAGTTGGCTTCAATTTTGATTTGCATCCAAGGCAGCTTTTCAAACAGGAATTCTGGCAACTGAGGACGAAGATGAGCGTCTTATTTACACATCTAAAAACAATTTCCGAATTCTTGGCTAAAAATCTTAAGTTGCACGTCTTATACTCGACGTTCTACGAATCTACGCGGAACTCGAGTAAGTACAAGACAAATGAAAATGAGACGCCGAGATGATCGATCAATACTCGGAAACTGCTTTGTTTCCATCTTGGGAAAAATTCTGAGGGTAAAATGCCTCGCCGACGATTTTGTTCTTTCCTCAGTCAAGATTTCGAATGCATTTTCGGGCAGTGAGACGAAAGAAGATGAAAGCCATCAGAATGGTCGCTGAACCACGGCACTGCGACTATACTCAGGATCGGGATTTTCCGGATGTCACTTTCCCTGGAACCCTGCTGCTATGTCGGCTTTCATATGCATCCAGTATTACCATCCAGTCAAGTAGACTGGGGCAAAAACTTTTTTCGCAGTTCGAGGATGAAACTCAAGACAGGTTTTTTTTTTTTTTTTTATCTTGTCGAAAGGAAAAAGTTCATATGTAAAATGCCAGGGCGGAAGAGTAAACAGTGATGCTTTCATGCACTTGACGCCATCAGAGTGACGCAGAATTGAGAAAGATTTCCTATGCTCAAATTCTGAGGCATCGCGTTAATTCATGAGGCACTTTCCCTTCGTAAAGCCCCTGGATTAGTTCTACGCTAATGCAGACGAATGGCGCTGCTGAAGATATCCTTGTTGAATTTAGTTTACTCAGGAGATCTTATTATAATTATTGGGTGGAACCTTATCGCGCCGAAGCTTTGCGGGTGGAGAAAAAAGGCATTGTGTATTTCAAAAAGAAGAGATGACGCATGAAACGTATATTTGTCACAGTCAACCCATCGCTTATCTATTCGACAGCTGATGTTTTTTCAAGTTGACGCGTTTCCTGGCTGTGGGCTTGACAACTCTGAAGTACAGTACCTTGACAGTTTGAGACGCACACAATTTGCAAAAGCTTTCAAGAGAACAGCTCCCTGTTTTAAGATTGCGTTGAAAGTTTCGTTCACTGGCTTGAAATGTTGCTGGAAAATATCTTCCACCAGGAGCTAAAAAGTTCAGCGTTCTGGAGAAGTTGACTTCATTGCGTCAGATGAGTTCATCGTGTACATTCATTATTTTCACGAAAAGTTTATATTTAACTTCTCATTGAGTTGTTGTAAAAGAAAATATATATAAACTCGGCAGTAACTCAAAATACTGTATCGTGTTCGTGGAAATACCAAATCATATTTCCTGTGCTGAAGGATATTTTCGGCGTGAAATTAGGAGGTTTCTTACGCTGAAGATTCATTGGCTTTTCAATAAAACCTGGCAAAAACACTTCAAGATCCTTTGATTCATCTTGCCTGTTCATGAATTTGAGTGTTTGCAGAACCGGCTCATTTACAAGCTCGTCACATGATTGCATGTTCAGCCATCAAAGTTGAGAAAGTGGCGAGTTATCAATGAAGTCGCAATATGATCAAAATTCTCACTCGCGAGAACGGATGAGCCATAAAAATTTCTTTCTTTTAATTCACGGTGTTGGAGTTGTTTGAAGTGTATGTCATCGGTATGGTTTTTTAAGAAATTTTTTAGATGACGAGTTCATTAGATTGCCGATTTTTGATAAATGGTACAGGAGCTCAATTGAGTTGCAACTTACAGGCATCAAAGAAAATCATGATACAGTAGTTATAAATTTTGGATCTGAAAAAATAAACGGGCTCTTTCAAGAGATTTGAAGGAAGATTTTCCTAGTTTTTCTAGATTTTTTCCACGTGCTTACGTACGGATATCGATTTTTCGTGTTTATTTTGGATCATTTGGAGCTAATGTGACAAGGTGAAGAGGAACAGGGGTTTCGCAGACTTACAAAGAACGCTCTATAGTCTATACTCTATACAGTAGTTATCATTTTCTATCAAATTTATTATTTGTCATGTTTAATGAGTGAATAACTCTCAACGTGATGACCGTCATCTAACGGCATATTTCAGAGAGAATGCTTCTTCGTCTAAAATGCAAATTTATTTTTGAGAAAAAATTGCAATCTATGCAACATAGGCAACGCTTCACTCTGCATTTTTTCCCGGGACTACTCAATAAAAGGTTTTATTCTTAATATGTACAATCTCTTGACATTTTCATTCTCTTCCTCACCTTTTCTTCAGCATTAGTTTCGCGTGAAAATATTATTGCATGGAGCCATAGAATATACTGCATCGATATCGATAATCATAAAATATACAGTATCTGCATTCAAGTTTGTTTTTTTACGAGTCAATGGAAGAGTTGCATTCAATAATGACGACTCAAGACTTTTGAACTTTTCTCGTGACGACTCGGGTAAAATTGACCAACTTTTATGCCGTATTCATTCCTCTTATTGATCATATGATCAAACGGCAACTATATAGAGCACACGCAAAAATATTTGCCTGCCAAATATTTTTTTTTTCTCGGGAAAAAGCTCAGGACGTTATAGCAGCTGCTCATTATATTCCCTCGGAGAAAAGAAAATGCGTGGCGCAGAAAAGAGGGGCTTCTTCCTTTATTGGTGCTCATGGTGCCTGGCTTTGCCCAGACCACGCACTGCTCTTCGATTGACATTACTGGATCCGCCAGGAATAAATATCACGGTTCACTGAAGCAGTTCGAGGATATTAAACATCAAAACTCGCTGGCACATCTCGGGCATCTGCTGCTGTCGGCTGAGCTCCTGATTCCCCGTTTCCTATTTCCGGTGGGACATGGAGGGGAAAAAATAAGAGCTGTGTGGACGCTAGATGACGCTGTACTTGTATAAAAAGATGATGAGATACACGCACTGCACAATTACTGTTGGATACAGGTGACATATATATAGCTGTATTTCGAGATAATTTTTTTTTCTCAAAGAAAAAGTGGGATCCAAATGCGACTATTGCATAATCGCATGCTTATATGCAACACGTCAGGGGAAAAAAGGTCAACATGAAACTCCCAAGTTCTTGAAGGTTGATTTTGTTTTACATGCTGTGTACTTCCAAATGGCATTCAGCCTATGAACATTTTCAAATAAACTTTAAAAAATTGTATCTTATCTCATGCCAGGAATCGATGTGCGATCCACGATGCGAAGAAGAAATTTTTAGGTCACATCATTATAAGGGTTTATTTTAAAAGAAATATATTTTGAATTGTTTTTTCTTCGGATAAGGGTTGCTGCAATGTTAAGACGGGACTCAACATGATACAATTAATTTAACTATACAGTATTTCTATGGGAGAGCTGGACGCTAGATGACAATTTA